ATGTTAGGTTAAAGAAAAGATATTAATTTCTCCTGTTTTTTTCTTTTTAATACAGCCACTAGGACGTTTAAAATTACATATGTGGCTCGCATTATATTTTTATTGCATACCACTGCTCCATATCTTTCTCTATACATTTGCATTTACATATATGCATCCATAAATATGTATCTATACTTATGTATAGTTTTGTTTTTCATATTAATGAGATCAGAGGATGTTTGAGATCAAAGGATCTCTCTGTGACTTGCTTTTTCCCCTTACAGATTTTTCTATATCAGCACATGTAGATCAAGGTGGATATTCTGACAGATGAGGGAAATCGAGGTACCTTAAGTAGTATGACAGGCTTACCCAGCCACAGTGACCAAGGTGGCATTTGAACTCATGTCCTCAAACTCCAAACCCAAGGTCTTTCTGCCTCAGAGGAGCTTACCTTTATGTACTATACTAGGTCGTGGAGAGTCATCGTAGGTTCTTGAGTGAGAGGAGAAAGAGAGAGGGGTGAACTTTTGTTGAAGGAACTGATGAGACTGCGGTGTGCAGGGTACGCTGGAACGAAGACAACTTAATCCTCACTGCAGTCACATGGAAGCCAAGTCTTGACCTCTACAACTCGAAGAGGCTTAACCTGGCTCTGACCCCTTCTATCCCCCAGGCCCTTGGCTTTGGCTGGCACAGAGGGGCAGGAGAGCCAGCAGCACCAAGTGACCAGGCAGATGTGCCCCCCGGAGAGTTCCTTCCAACCTTCTCAGTTCCTACTGCTGGTGGGGGTCCCAGTGGCAAGTGTCCTCCTTCTGGTCCAGTGCCTGCGATGGCACTGTCCTAGATGGCGGCTGGGGATCAGCAGGAAGCCAGATGGCCAACAGGAGCCAGAGTCCCAACCTGTCCCCCTGCCAGAAAATGAGGCCCCAAGGCAGGGCCTGCCAGCCACGCTGCCAGAGATGGCTGCCTTCTACCAGGAACTGCACACACCCACTCAAGGCCAGACTGTCATCCGTCAGCTGATGCACAAACTGTTGGTGTTTTCGGCTCGAGAGATGGATCACCGGGGTGGCTGCCTGATGCTCCAGGATACGGGCATCTCCTTGCTCATCCCACCAGGTAACAGCTCGCCAGCTCCCTTCTCAGCATACAGTTATTCATACTGCACATTAGGGCACCATATCTGAGGAAGCATCATTCATAGACATCTTTATAATTTTGAACATTGTTTATGTTTCTAGTATAGCTTTATTGACTCCAAAGATGGACATAGTACACACCTTTTAGGACAACTTCCTGGCAGGTGGAAGTAAAGTGCCTTGTTCTAATGAATCAGTGTGCTATGCCAATTCTCCAGGAAAAGGAAGGAAGAGCACCTCTTGCCAAGGCACACAAAGCACTGCATGGGCTAGCAGCAGCCCCGGAAGAAAGGGGAGTGACTGGCTCAGGGTCACACTACAAGTCAGCTCACAGCTCCAGTCTGTCTCCCTGTGAGCCCTGCTGAACACCCTCTCTCCTGGGCTCCCACCCCGCCTCCTCTCCCCCGGTGACAGGGGTGTGCCTGCCTGCCAGGCCCTTCTCAGCTCTCCCTCTTCCCAGGTGCGGTGGCTGTGGGCCGGCAGGAGCGAGTGTCTTTGATCCTGGTGTGGGACCTGTCAGATGCCCCGTCGCTATCCCGAGCCCAGGGGCTGGTAAGCCCTGTGGTGGCATGTGGCCCCCATGGGGCCTCTTTCCTGAAGCCTTGCACCCTCACATTCAAACACTGCGCCCAGCAGCCCAGCCATGCCCGTGCCTACAGCAGCAATACCAACCTGCTCGATGCCAAGGCCTGGAAGCCCCTGGGGCGGTCGGGGGCTCACGCCTCTCGGGATGAGTGTCGCATCCACCTCTCCCACTTCAGGTAGGCACGTGCCGGTTGGCCTGTCTTCCTGATTCTGTCTCTCTGTCTACGTCATCCTCACCTCTGTATAGAACTCCTTTATCTGTCCAAGACGGTCTGCAAATCCCTGACCCCCTGTGTCCCTCTGCTCTAATGTCTATGGCAGCTTGGCTCACTCCAGCCCTGCCTAGGACCATGCATCCCACTGTGGCTTTCTGCTTGTCTGGAAGTGTCTGCCTCACCCATCTCTCCTGTCCCTCCCCACCTCTGCCTCTCTAAAAGTATCTCTCTCTACCCTGTCCCTCTCTTCAGGACTGTCCCCAAACTGTCTAGAGCAGTTTGTCCCTTCAGTTCTCTAAGACTCGATTCCATCTCTGTCCTCTGTCTCTTTGTCTTTCTAGAATCTCAGGTCCTCTGTCTGCCAGTCTCCTTGCCACCCATGGACTAGCAGTATGGGGCCATGTGCGGGAGCCCTCCCGAACACAGTGACCCTCAGCCCACCTTCCCTGTCTCCCCTGCTGGCTCTCCTCCCACCTCAGTCACCGGTCCCCAGTCACTGTGACAAGCTCACTTTTTGTTCCCCCTATACGCCCCCCCAAAGTGCTCTTCTAGCCTCCTTGAAGGTCCCCATAGAGGTCCTTGGTGCAGCAGGAGCCTGGTGGTAGGTGTGCTGGAGTCTCGGCCTTGCTGAGCTTGGGTCCCTGCCACTGTCTCCCTCCACAGCCTCTACACCTGTGTGCTGGAGGCAGCTTCGGGGCGGGCAGCCCGCAAATGGCTGCAGCTGGCCGTGTTCTGCTCACCGCTGGTGCCAGGGCAGTCCCACCTGCAGCTGCGTGTCTACTTCCTGAACAACACGCCCTGCGCCCTGCAGTGGGCCCTGACCAACGAGCAGCCCCACGGAGGGCGCCTGCGCGGGCCCTGCCAGCTCTTCGACTTCACCGGGGCCAGAGGCGACCAGTGCCTGAAACTCCAGTACATCTCAGAGGGTGAGGGAGGCAGGGGCCTGGGGAACAGGGCCGTAGGGAGCCCCAAAGGAAAGAGAGTTCAGGGCCTCTCTCCCTGGGCTGAAAATTGGGGAACCCCAAGTTTCTTTCCAAGATTCCTGGACCAGCAGCAGCCCCCAGGAGAGCCCTAGCTTTGACTGCTGTCTCCAGGAGCCCCCAGGCTTTGACTACTCTGCTGCCCGCTCAGCCTTTGCCACCCACCCCCAGGACAGGGTGATGCCAGGTGGGAGGTGGGAGGAGAGGTTACACCCCGAAGGAGCAGGGAGGGAGGGGGAGACTCTTACTGTCCACTGGGTGGAGCTGGTTTGGGGAGGAGGCCTTCCCAGTCTTCTCTGCTTGGCCTGCTTTCCTTTATGGCCTGGGCTGTGGAGTTGGCTTTGGGGCCCACTGCATGGCTGCTTCTGGGGGATGGCAGGGCGATGTTGGGGCGTCTGCATGCTGTGTGTGGAGGGAGTGTGTAGGAAGAAGCAAGACCACTCTTGGGATTCCCCACCAGGCTCTGGGGAGTCCCATCCATTTGAGATGTTCCTACCTTTGCTCTGGCCTCATGCCTCCCTACAGCCTCCTTAAAACTTGTGCAAGGTCGCACTCTCTGAGGCCCTCTGCTCTCTGCCTGCTCCCCAGGTTGGGAGAACGTGGATGACAGCAGTTGCCAGCTGGTCCCCCATCTCCACATCTGGCATGGAAAGTGCCCCTTCCGTTCCTTCTGCTTCCGGAGAAAAGCAGGTAGCCCAGGAGTCCCGTGTGCCTCCTGCCCTGTCCTCTCCTCGCCCCTCCCCTGCCAGTGGCCCTGGAGCTCTGCAGCCCTCAGGCAGCGGTGCACACAGGCCTTCTCTAGAAGACCAAGAGCCACAGAGATCTGTGCGTAGAGAAAGGCATGTCCGGCCCCAGCGTCTTCAGATTCCCCAAGTTTTACCGTAGTCCCTTGACTTATGCTCCTACCCCAGACCTTTTCCTCACTCACCAGCCACATTTTTGCCTTCTCTTTGTAGCCAATGAGAACGAGGACTGCTCGGCACTAACCAATGAGATCATTGTCACCATGCACACCTTCCAGGATGTGAGTTGATGCTGAGAGGCAGAGGAAAGGCAGAACCCAGGGGGAGTCCTGGGTAAAGTGGGTGTGGAGTCTAGTGCCCTGTAAGCATGGTCCATAATCACTTAATCAAGTAGGTGAAGATGCATTTTTCACAGAGCAGCCATACCAGCTCTTGGGGTGCAGACCATCTGGCCTCCAAGTTACCCTCTATCCCTGACTCTCTCTCGTCTATTAGTAGATGAATCCAGCAGGAGGTTAAAAGAACCAAACCCTAATTTAACTACTTCTCCCAACTCAGAGTAACTGCGGCATCAAGGAAACATGGTTTCTTTCTAGGCTAATTGTCTACATCTGAGGGATGATGTTTTGTATGTTCATTGTGGGGAGGTGGTACTAAATGGGTGGGATGAGAGTCAGGTATCCTTCCCCTCCTCCCACTGCACCAAAGGGAGAAATGAGGAAGTCAGGGTTGAGAGTCTTAGGGAGCCATAGTGGCATCTTGGTGGAGGATAGGCAGATACCCTCAGGTTGTCACTGGGGGAGGAGGAACCAGGGAAAGTTGGAATGGAGGGAAGGGGGCGTATATGCCCCCCCGAGTTCAGTGTCTCTATTATTGGAAGACCTCCTGCTGCCTCCCATGACCCTACCCAGGACTGTTCCTGGTGGCTTAGGATACACCCTGTTTGGTCCTCATGTTCCAGTTTCCAAAGAGCTCAGTGGGAAAACTTAAGGCTGAAAGTGGGGTTCTGAGATCAGGGAAGCATAAGGTAGAGGGTGCAGGGTGAGGTGGCCTTATGTGTCCCGGTAAAGTGGCTCTGGTTGATAAGCTGAAGGAGAAATATGAGGAATGGATATGGGACCCCAGCTTCTGACTCCGGGGGATGTCTTATGCCCTCTAAGTGTGTTCTCTGTTGACTCAGGGCTTGGAGACCAAGTACATGGAAATCCTCAGATTCCAGGCATCAGAGGAGGAACCCTGGGCAGCACCACCCCCTGTCTCCCAGCCACCCCTGTGCAATAGGTGAAGTGGTGGTTGCTTGGGCTGCTGCCTGGGTGATGTTGGGATTCCTGCCCTGGCACTTACAGGGAGAACCAGATTAGGTCTCTTTGATCCTTTCCTCCAAGAACATCCTTTTCCCCCTGCCTCAGGCTGCCTCCAGAGCTCTTTGAGCAGCTGCAGATGTTGTTGGAGCCAAATAGCATCACGGGCAATGACTGGCGTAGACTGGCCTCCCACCTGGGGCTCTGCGGAATGAAAATCCGGTAGGAAGAGGGACAAGGTCTATGGATGGAAGAGGAGGGTGGAGAGTTCTTGGGACAATTTGGGAACCATACCACAGATAAGGAAGTGACTTAAAAGTCAGAGAATGGCTTCTCCTTACCCTTTTCCCCATAAAAAGGCAGCTCTTTCTATTTATCACTGTATCCTTAGTACTAGAATGAGGCTTGGCTTATAGTAGGTGCTCAATAAATATTTAACAATGAATCAGTTAACATGCAAATGATGGGGTACATATTGAGTGCTTGCCATGCTGTAGACTGAGGAATAGAATGGCAGATTATAGGATAATGTGTGTAAAGCATGTAGCTGGGTACCTGGCACATGTTAATTCAATAAGTGTTAGCAATAATGGTGGAAATGCAGCCATGATCCCACAAAGAGATCAGTAAGAGGACAATTCCGCACTAAGCCCCAGAACCCAGACTATCAGTGCAGCCACCAGGGAAGACTTCATTCGGGAGATGGGGCCAGAACTGATCCTGAAAACAGGATGGATTTTAAAATCATTCATTTATTTAAGCATTTATCAAGTGCCTATTATGTCCCAGAGGCTGTGATAAGCACTGGGATACAAAATAAACGAGACTGGGTCCTAGCTTCTAGGAGCGCACACTCTAGCAAGAGGTACAGAGAACCTAAAAAATAAAAGCAAATGTTCCTGTGCCGCCTTGTACGTATCCAATATTGCGTAACATGTTGAAAAGAGGCATAAAATAGCTGAAGCAAGAATACTAATGAATTGTGGGAGCTGTGACTAGAAGTCTGAACTGAGAGGTGCAGAATGGTCACTTCCACCTGGGCGGTGGGAATTAGAAAGGGCTTCGAGGAGGAGGTGATGGGGAAAAGGCGATCAGCTGTTCTGTTTGAGGGGAAGCAGCGGAGCTGGGGTGGTTGTGGGTGTGGTGTGTGCAAGGTGGGAACGGGACAGGCTGGAGGCAAGGAGGTTCAGCACGGGAGAAGGTGGAAAAGGTCAGCAAGGCAGGGCACAACCAGGTGGATGAGCCTGAAAGTCAGGAATGTGGGCTCGGTTAGTAGGTGAAAGAGATTCTGGAAGGTTTTTGAGCAGGGGAGGGTCATGATAAAAAGCCATGGTTTAGGGCAGCTGCTTCCTTGGTGGCGGGCAGGGTGTGGTCTGGGAGAGAGGAAGGAGGCAGTTAGGAGGCTAGGAGGCTAGGGTGAGGCAAGCAGTGTATTTGGGGTGAGAGGGGGGAGAAGGCAATTACAAATGATCAGAGCTGGAAGCAACCTTAGAAGTCTTCTCATCTAAGCCCTCAGCTTTGTAAGAGGAAACCGAGGCCTAGAGAGGAATAGGGCCAGCGAGTTAGCCTCTAAACCAGGACAATCTCAGGTTTCAAAGTTCTGGGGCCTCGGGCCACCCCAGTCCCCTAGAAGGGGACTAGAGCAGGAGAACGAGGAGCGCTGCAGGGTGTGGGTGTGTTGTAATGTCTGGCCACTGCAGAGCAGCCCAGGGGGCTGCAGCAGGGGATGAACTCCCCTCTGCTCCCTCCTTTCCTCACCTCCCTGCCAGGTTCCTGTCCTGCCAGCGCAGCCCGGCCGCAGCCATCCTGGAGCTGTTCGAGGAGCAGAACGGCAGTCTGCAGGAGCTGCACTACCTCATGACGGTCATGGAGCGGCTGGACTGCGCCTCCGTCATCCAGAACTACCTGAGCAGGTCGCAGGCCGGCAGCCCGGCCCCAGTCCGCGGCCGTGCCCAGGATAACCAGGGCCTGGAGCTGGACGAGAAGCTCTGAGCGCCCGGCCGCGGCACCCGGGGCAGAGGGAGCTCGGGGGTGTGCCTCAGCGCCTAAGAACACAGCAGCGGGTCCTGGCCGTGCCTGCTGCCCTCCTCTGAGCCCTCGGACGGTGCCCGGGGCCACCCGTGAGGCCGCGGTGCCCTCGCCAGCCTCCCGGCGTCGGACTCCCCAGACCGCCGACGCGGCGCTGCCTGCAGGTCCCCTCCTGGCCGGCAGGGGGCGCGGGAGCCCAGGAGATGGCCGCGGCAGGCCCGTCTCCTGGAAGCTGGCCCGGGACGCTCAGGCTGCCCCGCGGGCGCAGCTTAGGGACTGGGCGGGCCACGGTATTTGCGGACCCTCAGTAAGACCCAGCACTGGGCTGGTGTCACGGGGAATACTGGAGTACGTGAGGGAGGGTCTGGAGCCGTGACAGGCACAGCTCTCCGGGGAGGCACCATGCGCTCCCGTGAGCTGAGGGCGAACTCAAACCGCGCCCAGGCTGCGGGCAGGGGGTGCGGGTGTGGCGCGACCTGTGTGCGCGCGGGAGCAGCGAGAGTGCTGCATGGGGCATGTTGGGGAGAGAGGATGGGGACTTGCAGGGTGGATGAGAGATGTGTAGGCGGGGGTAGGGGGAGAGCGTGGCTGGAGTTAGGAGCACAGCGTGCGTCTGCAGGGCCGGAGGCTTTCAGGAGGCCCTGCGTGTGAGGCCAGGGCAGGAGGAGGGCTCCAGGCCAGACCGAGAGATGGACGGGCATACCTGGCCCACCCCCTCTGTCTCCGTTACCTTCCTTTTATCTCTTTACGCTCATGCCTTGTCTTCCCCTCTCTCTGCCATTATCTCCCACAAAACATTAAAGCTCAGAAGAAATTTTAAGATTACTATTCTCACCGAACCCTTTTATCTCTTTATCTCCAACTATGTGAGTTTTAAGTCTCTCCGGCTTCATTTTTCTGTCTCTGTCTCCTGCAGTTGTTCCATCTCTGAATCTGTCTCATTCTGTTACTCTCAGTCTCGGCATCGTTCTTCCTCTACCTCATTACTGTGCCCTGTCTTTGTTTCTCTCTCTGAAACCCTCAGTCATTCCCCTCAGGCAAGTGTTTCTAAACCAATGTTCTGTTTCAGAGGCTATTGAAAGAGACTGGGTTAGTCTAGGAATGGATGGGAGGGGATGTTTTCCCCATGGATCAAGATCCAGTTAAGGGTCAGGAAATAAAACATAGGGATTAAAGAGCACCCCATCAGTCAACAGGTATTTGTTCAACACCTACTATGTGTTAGACACTGTATACAAAAGAGATGAATAGGCCGAGTCCTGAAAAGAGAATGCAGGGTTGGACTCAATTCTGGCAATGCTTTTGTTTGCAAACAGGTGTTGTTAATTTGTTCAAGGGCAGGCAAGCAAACTCTCTGGCAACACTAGCAATTTGCTTCTGTATTTAATTAAACATATTAAAGCTTTTTCTATGATTGCCTATGAATCATAAAATAAGAAAATTGTCTTTCTTTGCTACTAACTATATTTTGCTCGGATTGGTACATTTAGTTGGGGGTGTGAATGGTTTTATTTGGTAAAATTGTACGTATGGGGACAGGTTGGAGGGAAGCATTTTGTAGATTGTGTTTCCAGTATGACACTTGTCTAGGGCCCACGTGAATCAGGAGGTTCGTTTTCCTTTATGTTAGAAGCAAGCTGTTGGAGGTGGGCCCTTCTGTCCCTTCCCTGTTTCCCCAGCCCCACCTGTCCTCTTCCACCCTTCTCGTGGGTCCTCCCACCCCACCAGGGGCTGCCAGTCACTCCAGGTTGGTGCCGTCGCCTTTTCCCCCTTCACTTGGCTCAGGATTGGACCTTGAAGAGCATCTTTCTCCCCCTTAGCCCCAGCACTGCTTTTCCATGGTCTCCCATGGCCTCTTCCTCACTCTCCAAGCCAGTCAAAGCCATCTTTGTGTTTCTTCCCACCCTTGAACAAATAATGTTAAGAGTTTCAGGTCTTTTGGAGTAGAAGCCACAGGGGTTCCTGTGATGGCATGGGATGCTTTCTGGCCCCCACCCAAATTCTTAGTATGGGTTCCCAGTACTGGCAAAGGTAGGCTTGGAAATCCTGGGGTAGATGCAGGTTGTGTGATTCCTGTAAGGTGGACCCTTCCCTTCTCAAATCAAACCCAATTGGCTTGCATTTACTGTCACTTAATGCTGAGAGATGGCATGTTCCAGTGGGCATCAGGAAGCAACGCTTGGCTCTGGCTCTTGTGCTAACTAGAGTAGCTTTCATCTTCTTGGGTTCAGTGTCCTCACCCTTGGAATGAAGTGACCATACTAGAGGCTCTCCGAGGGCCCTCCTTTGATTCCATAGACCTGTGCAGAGACAGCACGCTGGTGACCTATGATAATATATCCAGAATATTATCATTTCCATATCAATATAAAATGAATGGTATATTTTACATTTTTTTCATATTGAGTGTTTGGAATCTGGTGTATTTTACAATTACAGCACATCTCAATTTGTGTTATAACTTTTCACTGGAAATATTTGATCTGTGTTTAGCTTTTATAAAATTAGTAGCTGAAAAAGTACATTTGCATGCACAAGTTAAGCTAAAAGTTTTCCAAAAATGGAATTAGGTATCAGTTTTAAAACCTAAGTTCACTGAAATAAAATAAAAATACAGTTCCTCATGTGCACTAGCCACATTTCAAGTGCTCAGTAGCTATGTGTGGCTAGTGGGTACTGTTAATATACAGCACAGTTGTGGATTAAGGATCTAGCTGGGTGTAACTTTATAGTGTACTTGACCATTCATTCATTCATTTTCATTCATCAGACATTGCTGGAATACCTTCTCTGTGCTAAGCCCTGCACAAATTGTTGGTAATAAAAATTCAATGAAAACGAGCATTCTTGTTCTGTAGACACTCCTGGGATGGTGGGAGTCAGAGGGAAAGGCGCTTTCCTTCTATCTTTCTCTGCATCTGACTCAAGAAGGAAAGGGGGGATGAGGTCCAGGCCAACACTGTCTGTTGCAGGAATGGCGCACACCATAGCCTGGTGTAGAGGCAATAGATTCAGAGTCAGGTGTTCCCAGCTTAGCCAGCGCATCAAGTGGGTTGTTGGTTGCTGACATTCTGATGGTTGAGGAAGATGGGATTTATTAAAGGAAACTGAAGGACAAACAATCATTTGGAGGTCTGGGAAATAGATTTGAGGTGAAGTTTGCAGGAATGATGCCTTAAACTGTGCTATAGGACCAGTTCAAAGGGGGAAACGGGTATCACTGTGGTTGCTGCTACTGAGCACTAGACATCAGGAACTTGACTTTGCTGCAGCTACTCCTGAGTTGGGAACCAGACCTCACCACCCCCTCAGAAAGATGAGGTCTCTGCTGCCATCCATGCCAGCAAAAATGGAAGCTCCGTGCACTGCCTGCTTCTTCATGCTACTCACTTCTGAATCAAATCTCAAGTAGGAGTATCAGGTTGTCAGAGACCAGATCATGTGCCTGAATTCTAGCTGCAAAGATGTCTGGAAACTCTGAACTCTGACTTAAACCTTGACTTCAATATCAGGGTGGTGGGACTCATTATATGCAAATATCCCCAAATGTGGAAAAACTACTAAAAGTTGACAAGAAGCCATAAATATTTACTATAGTCAGGGTGTGGTCAATGCTGTGGTCCCAGGTAGCAAACTCTCTTCTTAAGAAGAGTCATGTCCTCAGCAGGTGCCTTCAGACTCTTCTCCATAAAGCATGAGTGCCCACATCCCTCAGGATGGCTCCCATGCCAGGATACCCAATGTGATTCTGTAACCCTGGCTCAGACCTTGACGTGTTTCCTAAGTGCTATGGTCCGAATGTTTGCAGCTCCCTCAAATTCATATATTGAAATCTTAACGTCCTAGATGATGGTATTAGGAGGTGGGAACTTTTGGGAAGTGATCCAATGATAAGCGCAGAGCTTTCATGAATGGGATTAGGACTCTTATAGAGTGCTCCCTTACCCTTCCACCACGTGAGGACATAGCGAGAAGGTGCTGTTTATGAACCAGGAAATGGGCCCTCATCAGACACTGGTTGTGCCAGTGCTTTGATCTTGCACTTCTGGCCTCCAGAACTCTGAGAATTAAATTTCTGTTGTTTATCAGCTACCCAATCTATGGTATTTTTGTTATAGCAGCTAAAATGAACTAAGACAATACATACATACTCTGAGAATTAAATTTCTGTTGTTCATCAGCTACTCAATCTATGGTATTTTTGTTATAGCAGCTAGAATGAACTAAGACAATGCATCCCAGCAAAAGCTCACCAACAGCGGTGAACTGCTGTACTCAATGCCTTCTCCAGCTCCATGTGCCTTCCTGTACCACAGAGGCTGAAAACTAAAACTATATTTCCCAGACTGCTTGGCAGGTGGGGTTCTGGATATGTTTAGGTTCTGCCAACCAGCTGAACTCACGCAGGACTTTGATTTGGAATTGAATAATGTGGGGAATTGAACAGAGCCTGAGGCTGGTGTTTTTCTTGAGGGGCTGGAGTGGTCTAGGAGCTAGCAGCTGTGACAGCAGCTTCCTGAGTGGGAAGTTATATGGTGGGTGGTTTGGAGACTCAACACTGAAAGTTCAGCTTAGAGTATGTTCCTTCAGCCCTGCCAGTGAGTTGTGAACTATCCAGGCTCCATAAGATATTGTTTGTGCTTCAACTAGCCAGAGAGGGACTATATGGTATAAAACAAAGATCCTTATCCAATGTGCCAATGATTCTTTCTCTGAAAAGTCTGTCCTTTATTCTCTGATCATACACTTCCTACTTTGCTGGCGTTAAAGGGTCTATTATCTTATGAAAGTATAGTAAAAGAGACAATAGTTTTATTATTATTGTGAAATGTCCATACTTGGCAAAATAAAAAGATAATTAATCCCAAATGTTAAAAAAAAGACCAAAAAAGTATGGGTCTGTGAAATACAAAAGCCTGGGAATGCTTTGTTATGAGACCTGTCATGCTTATTCATCCTTTTTAAAGCCTTACACAGGTATGTTTATTCATCTACTCAGCACATATTTGACCACTTACTATGTGCTTAGAAACATGGTGGGCCTTCATTTATTTTCTTATCTTTAGGAAATCTTTCTCATGCTGGCTGTAAATCCAGCCTGTGCTAGTTTCTTGTTGGTAGAGATGTCATGGCTCCTGGCTAACAAAAAGCAAACATCAGTCCTAGCTGGTAGTGTCGTAATGTCGTAAAGACATTAGCCCAAGGACAGTGATATGCTTAATATTAGGTGTCAACCTTCGGGTGGGAATAGATTTGGTTTCCAAACCAACTAGAAGAGATACAATCACAAAGCAAAGAATAATATTTGGAAAATGCTGAATAGAGTGAAGATGAAATTATAGACAAGTTCCTTAGTGGGGTAGAGAGTAGAGATGGATTGGGGAAGGGCCTGATCTAGGGAGGAGCTGGCCATCCTGTGCCTGGGAATCTCAGATAAATATAAAGAAAGCCTGTGGCAGGGAAAGTGGCATTGCTCATTTTCATCTTGGAAATCTAGCAGGAAAGCCTTCACATCTGCCTGGTGCTCGTTGGCCATAGCCCCCACAGGGCTTCCCCAAAGTTGGGATTCTTGCTCTCTGGCTGAAGAGACTACCTGTGGTTGGGTGGCAGAAGTGGACCACTTTCAATACACAGGATCCGAGCCCTGAGGAAGCGTCACGTTCTGGAGACCATCCTTCTCTGTGTGCCCATGCTGTCCTTCCTGCCTGTGACTACCCCCTTCTTTCTGGGCCAAGCTGGTTGGATGTGATTCAGATACAGTCTTCCTTGGGAGCAGATCAGGGGTCTCCTTTAATTTAGCCTCTGTATCTTTCCTTTAATAAACTCATTTTAATTTATTTGCTCTCATCAAAGCAGAATGTGGTTCCATTCTTCTGAGGCCCAGTCTTGGAAGCCTGGTAATGTGGGATCAGTAAGGACTCTGGAACCCCACAGAGGTGAACTTAAAAACCAGCTCCAGCACTTTCCATGGGGATCCTAGCAAGTAACTTAATGGGTCTGAGGTTCTGTCTTCTTGTCCAGATGACAGGGACGATACCATCCTCCTTGAAAGCCTGTTGTGAGGGCTGATGAATACAACCACTCAGCCCGTGGCCTACGTGTGGTCTGGTTCAGCAATACTCACAGCCTTCCCATTTGTGACACCATGCAATGTTCCCCTGGCTGGACATTTATTGATTTTGGCTGCAGAGTGTCCTGTCCCCTTCTCTAAAAGCACCCCGACTTCTTTTTAGGAATCATTTTTCCCCATTAGAAGTAGTCTCAGAGGCAAATAATACCCAGGGGCAGATCCTTTCTTTCCTGCCCATGTCACTATCCCTCCAGACACTGTATCCTGAGAGAGTGGATTGAGGATGTGCTAAGGGCTAAAAGTTTGTTTTTCACCCCCCTCAATTCGCGTGTTGAAATCCTGACT